ATTAATTTTTAAGTAAAGATATCAACTTTCAATATTTTTTATTTAAAAATATTAATTTTTAATTTTTTTTATTTAAAGATATTAACTTTTTAATATTTAAGTTAAAAATTCTATTTGTCACACTAACATCATTATCCAATTAGTTTTTAAATAAAAAAGGTTTAAAATTGATATTTTTAAATAAAAAATATTAAAAATTAATATCTTTATTTAAAAATTAACAAAATTAATATTTTTAAATAAAAAATTATAAAATTGATATCTTTATTTACAAGTTACTCCATACCTCATACTTCCAGACAACACTTTTTAAAAACAATTTATCGACTCCTCAGTCTCACCCTCCGGAATTGAATATATTGAGCTGGACTCTGGAGCCCAACTTATTTTGGTTAAACTGAGATCAAATTCACCTTCCGGGCTTTTTATGATTGAGCTGCTGCCTTTCCCATGGCAGCCCATTAGCATTCTGCGTTCTTTTCTTAGATCTAAATTCTAAAATAGGAAGTTGCTGGTTCGCATCGGCAAAAATCTCACTTTTGCTCCTTTTTGTTCCTCTGTAAATAATAAAAAAAAGTTTTGCATTTGTTTTGCTTATTTTATGCAATCAAATCAATCCTTATCAATCCTTATTAGGGCTTTCACAAAGGAGATTAAATTAATTAAATGGGTTTAGTTGGCCCAAAACAACATCAATAAGGACGTTTCATGCCGCTTTGCTCTCACATTATTATCTGCTTGAAACTTCTTGTTTTCTAGTAAATCGTTGAAAACCTCTCCCCAAGAAGAATCTCGCAAAGCACTACACAATCTACACCGCCCCAACCTCTCTGTTTCGGCTTTTACATCAGCACCATCACCGACTTTCTGTAGTTGCTCACATGGCATATTTACTCATACATTCAAGATCTTGCATTGAAATATCCTTTCACAAAAATTTTACTCAAATTTGTCAGTTTGATTTAGAACACAGAATTGGAAGTCCGTCTATCATTGTCTTTGATTGATGTTACCAAGTCTTGCCTCGATTCAATTGGGCAAGTGAGTTTGTTTTCAACTATTGTGCCGCATCACAGTCCTTCCTAATGCAGCTTTAGGTAATCAATTTTTTTTTTTAAAGATGAATTTTAGGTAATCATTTGATTTTATTATTTGGAAATTGCTTTAGACCTTTTTTTGAAATGTTAACCTATGATTACTTCTGCTAATTTTGTTGAAATCGAATGCCATACTATTGTTTTCTTGCAACAATAGTTCTTTTCTTGATATTTCTTTTTTCCTAATATTTGTTGAATCGAATGCCATACACTATCCTAGCTGCTAATTTTGTTGAATCAAAATGTTGTTATAGCACCAGCTTACCCTTCTTTAGTCAACAAGAGACCCCTATCTTCGTTCTTTCTTAAACCTTAAGTTCAAATCTATCATCTTTTGTTTGCATTTTTCATTTTTTTCTACTTTTTAATCCTCAAATTTGATTTCAATTAATTGAATCTATACTTTCTCAGTGCAATATGCAAGAAGGTATGGAAGGAAATCCTGTAGCTGGCACCATGAAAAATGTTTTTGTGGTTCTTTCTGCCCATCCAATTCCAATTACTAGTACTTTCCCAAAGGTAATGTTATTTAGTTATTGCATGGTATCTTTCCCAAATAGTCGTTAGAGCTCATAAGCAATTGTGGCACCCAGTTCTTTTCCAACATAGTTGTTTAAATTCGTTAAAATATATGAAATATTTCTTTCAGTAATCAAGGACTTATGTCTTCTTCTCTCTTTGAGAATACATTAAATAGAAAGATTAGTAAAAAGAGGTCTTCAAACAATAAGTTAAATTTGTAGGGACTTGGATTGCTGGTACAGGGGAGAGAATAATAATAAGGGTAGTGTTATATGTTGATTGGGATTGTACTTTAGGATCATATTAGCGTTCTTTTTTCTTTTCTATTTGATGTGTTTAAAGTGCAAGAAATTTTTAAGAGCAAATCAAATTTTGCAGTATGGATTTGCTATTAACAAAGAAACGCCATACAAATTTGAGTTTTGACTCTTTGGTTTCCCATTGTATGAGGAAAAAGTTGTTACATAGTTTTTTCAGATTTAACTCATAAGAAGAGAATTGGGATTTAAAAGAAAATTTGTAATTGATTTTTGAATTTTGGTCTTCCACTCCTATTTTGTTGATGGATTTTGAGTAAGTAGTGACAGTAAAAACTTTAGATTTTCAATTATAAGTTTCTAGTAGTATTTCCTTACTTCGTCTCTCTTAGCTTGAAGGTGACACTCTTCATCTTCATCACCATCACCATCCTTTCTATGTTGATTTAGTATTTGGAATTTAATTTCGTGGGTTGTATGATTGATAAAAGTTTGAATTTTTTCTGCTATTTGTTTCAAATCAATGCTCATTTC